GTTTATCCATGTTTCAGTTATTTCCATTATATCAAAATCCTCCATTCCTACCAGTGCTCTAAAGTCATGTATTTTATTTCTTAAACTTCTTGCATTACAATAGTAACAATTAAGCCTATCCTTATAACTACTTCTATACTCATATCCTATGCTCAACTTTTCTCTGCCTCTTATTCATTTTGCTTTCAGTTTTCCTGCCCCTCACCACTGTCTAGTACTAGTTTAAAACTTCCCTTACAGCAGAGTTAATAGCCTTAACAAACAACCCAGCCCCTACTCTATTTAAATATAAACCATCCATTGCAAAAAGCTCCCTTCTTCCACTGAACTGATCTCACAAGTCCAACCAGCCAATCTGCTCATCCTTACACACTAACCGAAGCATAGCATTTAGTCTTAATGATCTAATTATAACTTTATCCCCACAGTTAATTTTGGGCAGTATCCCTGACAAAATTAAGTTATGGCCATTTTCTTTAAATGCCTTTATCAACCCCTTATACTTATTAATTAGCTCCTCTGAATTACCTTTCCCTACATCATTAGCTTCTACATGCACTACAAAAACTGTGTCTCTGCCAGCCCCCTTTGTTATATCTCTTGCTCTGTCAGTTATATCCTTCACCTGTGCCCCTGGGTAGCATAATCTGATTCTTTTCTCCCTGTTTACCCAACAGACTATTCTATCCCCATGCCTTATCAAGGAATCACCTATAACTATAACCTCCTTATCATCCACATCCTTCTCTGACCCTTTTGTTTTCCTTCCCTCCAATAGTTCCCTGTCTGCAGAAGCCAAGGGCTGAAATTTGTTGCTCAACAGAACAGGCTCATTATAACTAAATTCACCACTTTTAGTCCAAACAGTACTCTTTCTAACTTCCTTAAAGTCATTGTTAGCTGATGTGTCCCTTGCATATAAAAACTTAAGCTCCTCCTGAAATCCTGCTGCCATTTCCCACAATCTACGCTTCTCTTTATCTATTGCATCTACTTTAATTATGATTGCCTCTAATTTTTCCTCCAACTATAAACTCTACATAAAAATTGTACATTTTAATTACTAGCTTCCTTAAAATTACATTCCAGTCTCGAGTTCCCAAATAAAGGCCACTCCTTGCACCCATTACACCTAACAAATTGCGAATGATTAACTCCTACACTAGTCTTAACCATTGTATTTATACTGTTATAGCCTGAAAGTGAAAATAATACTCAATACCAAAT